GTCTCCGACCCCAGCTCTGAAAGCTCCCGTCCCAGTGCCTGCCCACTCCGCTAGGAAATAAGCTGCCTGGAAAGATAATTTCCTTCTAAAAGCCATCCTCAGACATTTTGGCCTTTTTCCTCCAGGCTGAGGATTTATGTACTTTCCGGGGTGGTTTTAGTTTATCTGAAGTCTGATGTTCGTGGCATTCACCCACCAACAAGTATTTTCTAGTTCAGCATGGGGTCTGGCGGCAGGGCACCCTGCACCTCATTGTGTCTTGGGGAAGAGAAATAAATCATAGAATCACAGAATGGTTTGGGTGGGAAGGGACCTTTAAAGGCCACCTGGGCCATCCCTTGCCATGAGCAGGGACATCTTCAGCTGGACCAGGTTGCTCAGAGCCCCATCAACCTGACCTTGAATGTTCCCAGGGATGGCCTATCTGGCCACCCTCTGCCAGTGTCTCCCCACCCTCAGCATAAAAAATTTGTTCCTTATATCCAGTGTGAAGTACCCATACTACTGTGGTGTGGCGCAGTGGCACCTGCCAGGGTGTAGCTCTGTTGATTGCAATTAGCACTAAAGAGGCGCTGGGGGTTAAAGGAGAGGAGGACGCTCTAGCAGCTTGGCTTGGCTGAAATCAAATCCAAATTGAAAAGGCATGGAGGCTTTGGGTTTAATCCTGGGGGTACCATGGGGTGTCCTCATGCTGGGGTAAAAAAACTGCTGCTTGAACAGCTTTGCTGCTGCCTGAGTGGGGGCCTGGCTTGGTTTTTGGTGGGGGATGTTCACAAGCAAAATTCAAAGTATCACCCACTGTTTTTTTGTTACTCGCCTTGAAGGAATCACGCCCAGTTGCTCGCAGCGTGGAAAGGCTGTAAAACCATGGCTAGCCCCAGAAGGGCTCACGGTCCTACATCAGGTTTCTGCTGTAAAACCATGGCTGGGCCCAGAAGGGCTCGAGGTCCTACATCAGGTTTCTGCAGAGGGGCCAAGAGTGGCCGGGGCACGTGGCTTGTTGTTCTGATGTTCCTCAGAGGCCTGACTCTTGGGTACATGAGCATCTACATGACGTACCTTTACAACCAAGTTCTCTACCCGGGCAGCAACATCTTGCCACAGTGCGGCAGCCCAGATGGGTTTGCCTCTGCACTGCCAGTTGCTCTGCTTCCATTGCTGCAACCACCCCCACAGGGCATTTGCCACC